GCCAATAATCACATGCCCTTAAATATTTCACTTACTGTGAAATGAATTATTACCCAAGACCTGCAAGACTAAAATTTTGAAACACGTTCAAAAATTCAAATTTGAACATTAATAATATTGCAATAATATATTTTAAGGCTATTTAATAAAATGTATAAATGTACATTTCGATAAAGATTAAAAATGTAGTATATATAATTAAATATTAAATATTTAATTAATATAATACATATTATATTCAAGTAGAATATAAAATCTGTAAATATTATACGGATAATTTTAATATTCAATTATATATATATATATATGTATACTATAAAGTGTATATATATATATATATACATACTTCTTGGCACAACAAACCTAAAAATCGAAGAAAAAGGAGTAAACAAAATCTCAATAGGAAAAGTCATAAATTTTAACTTAATATGAAGTTTGACAGATGCGCTGATACGTATAAAATCGTTTTCTTTGATGGCCACGATGTCCGTGATGATTAAGCAGAAGACAGATCCTCGGATTTGCAATGCTGCCAGATTCAGAACATGTTTATTCATTCACATGTTATCATATGATCCTTCACAGATTTTCAAATTCATTGAGAAAAAGAAATAGTGATGATGGGATAATTTACAGGGACCAGTACTGCTAATAATCTTTCCGAAATGGATGTTCAGTGTTCTATTCAAGATAATTGATATTGTGATAATTACTTCTGAAGTGAAAACTGGACTCAACAAATTGTGTACTTTAAGAATGGATCTCCTATTTCTCACGCATTGTAAATTGTAGCTGATATCTTTGAATGTGAGCGATAACTGATGAGCTTTAATTCAATTATTCTTGAATTTTAGCTGGACTCAATGACACCAGTTATGTTTATGGAATAGTTTTGCTCAAACTCATATGTGCTTATCAACATGTATAGCCTTTGATATCAGAGTGTTACTACAATAGAAACTCAGTGTTTCATCAGTTTTGCTGATTAGTAATTCATATATAACCTAAAAACATCTCATGTCCGAATCATTTTTAATCTGCGTTGACTAGTAGTGAGGCTGTGGTTTTGGCTCATGTCTGGTAATTTTTATCGAGATCTTAAATATCTGATAATCATTATTTCTCGTTGTTCGTTTCCTGATTTTCAAATAAAATATGTTTGCACAACCGCTGCATGAGGATTGTTGAGAATAATCAACTTATATTTCCATTCTTTTTTCATTAATATACATTGTATTTTGATAACTTTGGTCTCATGATCATTACTTCCGTGGCAGTAAATTTTAACTGAGCATCTTCAAATAATAATGTAATGTTTTCCAATGCTTTTACAAACTTCCTGCTCTTGGAAATATCTCTTTTCTGATCTCAACAAAAATAAAGGTCTCACTGAACAAGAATTGAAGCAGTTACGAGTTTGCTTCAGAAAAAGACAAAACAAGTTCACAAGCATTACGTAAGTCTTGCTTGAATTTTTTTCGACAATTTTTTCAATGTTTCATATATTTGATGGAAAAATTGAAATTTATTGCAATTCAGAAACTGCCGATATCAAAAGATGTTCTTTTAAATATAATGATATTCTCAAAAATATCAGTGTTAATCATAGAATGTTTTCACCCAAACTTATATATTGTATTTTCACTTCAGAGGTAAAGCGCGTGTTAAAATTGATATGAAAACTTCTGCTGATTTCATTTCTCACGTGTAAGGATTTGCAACATTTTGAATGACCTTGGTGCATTATAATATAATTACTGTGCAAACGAATTTTTTCCTGGGGCAATACAATAAATTATGGCTTCATATCTTTCAGTTCTATAAGCTCTCCTGCTGATGAAGAAAAATTTGAAGAAGTAGATGCAGAAATACATCCCTACCTTACTGAACTCAGAAAGAAGTACATTTTTTTAAAATATTCTATAATATTCCAAACCATCTTAAGACCACTAGTTCTCTTGGTGATGATTTGTAGTCCTACCAGTTTTATTTTAGTTATAGTATCAAGCAGATAAGTGAAACTTTATTGAACAGTTTTATAAAGTTACCTAAGATTACACCTTCAATATGAGTCATATCAAAATGCAAATAGTAGATATGATTCAAACTTTTCATGCTATTGAACTATTAATATAAATTTAACATTATCTTATGATATGCTTTAATAATAAATTGTTCGTTTAATTGAAATTAAATCAAAAAGAAACAAAAGTCTACTACTCAAATTATCCTCGCAAACAAACCATGATTGTTGACATATCTTATATGTTACTCAGTTTCAGCTTATTTTCAACGAACCAGCATTTAACTTCACCTGTTGTCAGTTTTAAATATATTTGTCATTCATATCGATTTCTGAGCTCTAAAATCATTTTAAATAGTTTGCTTTGTTGATGAGAAGATAAAAACCTTATTCTATTAGAAAGCATTATTACCATTTCAATCATTCCCTTTACTAGTTTTTAGAAAGAAGAATCATCTATATTGAACCACCGTACGTTTTATATAACAAATTTTCACGCTTTCCATCAGTCTCGTATTACCGTTATCTTTTTTTTAACAAATCTTTTTGCATGGAACTAATTAAGACAATGAAAACCATTCCAACTTACTGCCTGAGAACTATTCTGTCTGTTAATAAATTTTCATAATTATCGAATCAGCATCTTTATTATGTAAACATTGTATGAATTATTCCATTTCAATTTTAGCAAAGTTTGAAGAAACGTAGCTATATTTTATGTAAAATTAGCACTAGATAATAATCAAGAGCGCGAGTAACTCTTAGAGGACTTGTTGATTTGTCTCGATTTTAATTTCAAGATTGTTGCAATAACTATTCCAATACAAAAAAAGTTAGTTTTTTGTGAAAAATAAGTTATTACCGAGTTTTTCATACAGATCGAATTCGACAATAGTCTCTGAAGACGGTAGTGTTAATAAAGCAGCAGAATCAGTCATTCTCACAGATAACTTCAATCATGAACAGAATTTGAAGATTTCATCGACTGCAGAGAAGTCAATGAAAAATAATGAAAACGTCAAGTACGAGAATGAGGGAAAAATGATGTCAGGACTGACATTTTCAGAAAATTCAATATGCAGCATTAACTTTAGCAACAAAAATAGTGAAAAAACAGTGGCAAGAAAAAAAAAAGGAAAGAAGTCTTCTCAAGCAGTCGAGAAACTTAGAATGAGTATTAAAAAGTGCCAAAAAAGTCGAACTGAAGCAGATGCATCAGCAAAAGACGGCTCCCACATCATGAAACGAATAGAAAAAGATATTAAATCTATTCCAGAAACGATTAGAAACAATAAACAAACAGCGAAGCAAATGAAAGAACTATCAAATCAAGCTGTAATCGAAAAAGATGTAAGCTGTAATCAAATAATCAAGAATCACCAAGAATGGAAAAGCGGTGTCAAAAACAAGAAGTATCAGCAAAACAAATGTGCTAATAAGCCGAGGAAATCTACAGCAAAAATAAAAGAAAAAAAAGGTTTGAAGAAAATAGATAAAATTAAAAAGAAAATGATTTCTAAGCCCAGGAAATCTACAGCAAAAATAAAAGGAAACAAAGGTTTGAAGAAACTAGATAAAGTTGAAAAGAAAATGAGTTCTACTACGGCATCCAATGCAAAGATTAACTTTTTTTCTTCAAAATCTGAAATATCTGTAAGTAAAATTGAATCTGTGACGCAGAAAGATGTTGTTGAAACTAAAGTGAATATGATGAAACATTCGCAAAGTAAAACTGAATTTTTCACGCCATCGAAAGCAACTGTGTGTGGACAGAAATCTGCACTGCATAAAACATTGCCCAAACTGAGGGCAAATGAGTCCTCGAGTACAGTGATAGAAAAAACTTTCGCACAAGATGAAAAATCACAGTGTACAACAGCTTTAGATTCTTCGAATAGAAAATCAGATTGCTGCTTTACCAAAGGTCCTGAAACAGTAGAACAAGGAGTACGAATGGTAGTTTTTAGCTTCTTATGCATGAATATTGAAGCAAAAAAGAATCATAGTTAATGCTTTTTGTAATCGACAAATGAAATTCACTTCCGTATAATGCATCTTTGATGCAAGTGTCAGAGTTTTGTTACTGAGAAAATGCGAGCAAATATAAGTTACTTGTTCATGATTCTATTTTGATGGAAAATACATGGAGCAGACTCGAAGCCATTATTTGCTAAAACGTTTTTTGATGTTTTAGTTTTTGGACATTGAAGGAATCAAGTTTTTCAGCTATCAACTGAAAAGGCATTGTCTCAAACTCTTAGATGCTCAGGTTTTATTTTAATGAATTTAAAGCGTCTAAAAAAATGCTTTTTTCAACATGGTTTCGATATTTTTCATTATAAACGTCTAAAATAATTGTTTGCTGTGTATTTTTACTTTCCATCTAGCAGCCAGTTTTGTAAATGATATCGCATGCTAAAAAATAACCATGATTGAAACTTTGAAGTTAGCATGACATGGCTAAGTTGTCAGTGAACAAGAATAGAGCAAAGTGATTAAAGACCAGAATGGGTAAAACTACAGAGAAAAATTATGAAAAAAAAGCAAGGTTACTGCACAACTTCTGTTGCTCTTTCTAGATTATTATTTTCATACGCAAAAAGTTGCAATGTGTATGAAAAAAAGCGAATTTTTCCCCTTCATCTTATCAGATTTGATGAATTCTGCTGTCTGACATGTGTTACTGAGCTCATGAGATCAAATCCGAAAAGAAGACACTTTTTCAATTTTAGATCTGTTTTTATCAAACCATTTTGAAGTGCATATTTCCCGTAGCACTGTTCATGATCATATTTAAGTAATTTGAACTATACCCTCGTCGTGAAGAATAAAATTGAGGGGTAAAATTTAAATCAAAATCTAGCATGCGGATGACTTTCTTAGTTAACACAAATATTAGTTCTGATATGAGTTATGACATCATGTTTGTGTTATACTACTCGGTTACTTTGAACATTCTTTTTTGAAATTATATCTTGACTTTGAAGTACTGTTTGATACTTGTCTATACAAGGCAAACCAAGCGAACAAATCAGACGACAATTATTTTTTAATAACTTTGAAACGATAGGAAGAAGACTACCTTTTTAATACATGATTGAGGCGTACTCTGAATGTACACATTTCTTGAAGATCGCATTAACTTAGCATAAGAGAAAAAAGGAAAAAAATTAACAGTAAGAGAATGAGCAAATAACTGTTCTACGGCCATAAATTTAACTTGTCATAACAATTCATTATACTAAATTGTGATACTCTACGAATAAGAAGAACATTTTATTTCTTTTTACTAGTTTCAAACATCGTTAAACGGAGTATTCAACTCTATATTATTTTTAATTAAGTACTCCTGGAAAAATTCCTGAAAAATATATTCCCTTCAGCTGCATTTTCATAAACTATTGCTTCTAATTTCAAAGTCTTTTAGAAGGCTTAACGTTTTGCCTGAACTTAGATATTATAAAGAGGAAGTGGTAATGAAGCTCTTCAAGTAACATTTTTAGATCAATTATCAAATCAATTAGCGAGTATCGATTCACTGGTGAAATCGTTTGAAATAACAAAAAAAGATAAATCACTTTATGAAAAAATGGATAACGAGATTGTACTGGATACCAATCTCTTGCAATCTTTAGCAACCGACTTGATTAAGGGATCACAGTCTGTAAACAAATATATCTTAGGTACCAAAGCAAACAAATATATCTTAGGTATAAATCACCAATTAGATACATACAATTTTAAAAAAAAGTTTTTTTCTATTCTTTTGCTCTGCAAAAAGCTTTGGTGCAGTATTTCTTATGTAGTTTCAGATAATGAATGAAGAATGTTCTACAAAGGTTAGATTTTAAGAAGAGTATAGAAAGCCCAAACAGATAGTTTTTTGACCATGAAATGTTTTGCATTTTAGGAGAAGATTTGACCAAAAAGTTGATTGAGATTGAACAGAATGATCATTTGAATTCAAATGATAAAAATTTCGATGATGAAGAAAAGGTGCGTTTAGTGTTTTAAACAAGTGCTACAGCACTTTCGAGTTCATTGACGATTCATGAGTTCTCTCCACTTAACACTGGTCTAAGAAATCATTCCTTTTTTAGTTTTGGTAATTACAATTAAACCGAAAGGTTTCTTCGAGAACTATAACTGAAAGCTTCTAACCATTTCAGTCTCTGCATGTATCTCTAGTTGCAAACAAAATCGTTGAAGCTCTCACATCTGCTCAAGTTCTTGGCAAAGTCCTTACAACCGACGAGGCATCCATTTTAAATGATTACTTCAGTCGCAAACTACAATTAAACGAGAAGGTTTTTCTGAACTCACTGATAGTGTTTGTTAAATTCTACAAATTTATGTCAACTTCGAAAAACTGTAAGACAACAGTTTTTGACTTCTTACTAAACATACAACTTTAACTACGAAAGTTTGTCATTGATCATGAACACTGCAAAACTGCACTGCAATGAGACTTAGCTGTAATAGCAACAATGAACAAGACTTTTTAAATATAATTTAATAAAAACGTAAGCAGCCATACTATACTTTACGATATAAAACATAGGTGCTCGCTACACTGGATACAGCGCTGGACAAAATACTGTGTCGAGCACATGAGTTTTACGATGATAAAAAGGAACTAGCTTCCTTTTTAAAAGACCGAGACTCAGCTAAAATCAAGCTTCTTGATGCTATGATTGCTAAAAAGTCAAGCTTTCTTATGGATTTGATGAGCGAAGCGAATTATTACGCCGATAAAGTTAGCAAAGGGCTGATTGATGCATATAAATTAGCCACCGATGGAATTTTAGGTTGAGAACATAAAAAATAGATGATAAATGTTATTGTGCCATTTATTAAAAAATGTAATGACTACAAATTCCAGATGACAACAAAAAAATTGCTGTTTACATTTAATGGCATAGAAGTATTGTATTTACAGTTTCAGTTGCTCGAGAAAATCTTCAGTATATGCAAGCTGCTGTAGGACATACTTATCGTTATTCGAAAGACCTAGCATGCCGCGGTGCTGCATTCACATTCGAGGCGGCTGTACGGGGCAGAGAAATAGCTGCCATTGGTGCCACCGTCGGTGCACAAATCACTTACAACGCTGCAAGTTCTGGTCAACAACTAATGCAGCAGGGGACGGTGGCTGCTAACAAAATGGCCACAGGAGCAACTGAATTAACATTTGGTGCTGCAAGTAATGGCAAAAAGTTAGCACAACTGGGAATGGAAGTTGGTGCGAAGATGGCACAAAATGCAGCACGATTCACATATGACGTTGCTAACAAGAGTAGTCAATTAGTCGAAATTGGAAAGGCTGTTAGGACAAAAATGACTGAAAACGTAGCTAAAATCACGTGTGACATGGCAAACCGAAGCAAACAATACCCACGAATGGGATTAGCTGTTGGTACGAAAATAACACAAGATGCAGCAATCAGAGGTATTTGATTGGATTTAAAACAAGAACGAATGTCATATGCATATTCTAGTCTCCTTCTGCGTTATTTTAACTAAGTTCGAAGCAGTTGTTTGCAAGCATTTTCAAGCATTCATTGATTAGATTTGTGCTTTAACAGAATCAGAATGGGTGATTTGTACCTTGTGGGCTTGTGATAGTTATCTACTATCTATATCGCCCACGGAATTATATTTATTCGCATTTCATCCCTGTTTCTGGCTGACTAACCAATCGGTCATTTTCTCCTCAATCTCTGTGGCTATCAATCTCTGCTGACTACAGATGCTATTCTATATGTCACTTCTCATCGCGCACCAGAATATCCATTCAATCTGCATTTAATTAAATCACTGCTCTCACGAATTAAATGCTTTCGAGCTTGAGTATTATCGACTGGATATATGTCTCAGCGTGATCAGATTTACTAAATTCTTTCGCGTAACGATTGTAGAAACTCGTCACTATCCCATCCAAAGTCATACGAAAATTTGCGTCCTGCAATTCATCTATGCCTTGAATTTATTAGCCAACAAATCAGTCTTTCGCTTCTTCTCGGTCTTAACTGCTGATAACTTGTCCTGACTAGTAATGCCAAACTCTATCAGGATTACTTAATTTTGCTTCTTATCGTGTACCAGGATATTCGGTCCCTCCACTCTTATTCTAACTGCGGTTATTACTCGCGTGTCGACTCTGATTTCAACGTTTTTGACAATCATAACATCATTGTGCTGCCTGGAGCTGCCTTGAAATATCAGTCCCTGACTTGGAGGATTCTGTGTAGCATATTCTTGGTTTACAAGTGTGATTGGGTCCACGCTCTCCGATTTTATTTTTCGCGTTCAATTTGTCTAGTTTATCTCACGTCTCTGTTCCTCTTCCATCAGACTAGATATTTTTCCTTCACATCTAGGTAAACCTTAAACTCGTGTAGCGTATTTTTACCGAAGTGCGTATTTTGTGAATCAGCACGTTTCGTTGACTCTTCCAAGAACCGTTTCTGTGAGCACGAAGACCTGCTATACTCGTGATCATAGCATTCGCTTGCTTCGAGGGTAGTAGAACACAAAAACTTCTCGCTATACAGAGAATGACACAATGGCCATCCCCCTCTTGACATTCTTCTAAATCGGTCGAAGGCCGCTAACAGCACCTTTCCTGGACAATTGGTTCGTAGAGTTTGAATTCCACGGACGATTGCAAGCGTGATCATTGTGCTGGCACCGGATTCTGGTACACTGGCAGTATGTACTTTTACACTCTTCATTTATGGTTTCAGATGCGAGCTATTTCCTTTTAGCTTCCTTTTTATGTTCGTTGAACACAGCCGCTCAGAGCCAATGCTCAGCACCGCGGCAAGGCCAAGAATTATATTTATATATATGATTGCTAGAAATTCCACGATGATTAAGCAGAAAACAATTCTTAGCGTTTGCAAGTGCTGCCAGATTCAGAATATATTTATTTATTTATATTATCATGTAATCTTTCACAGATTTTCAAAACCGTGGTAAAAGATTGTGATGATCAAATTATTTACAGCGATCAGTACTGCTCGTGAACCTTCCGAAATGGCTGTCCAATGTTCTATTCAAGGAAATGAATTGGTAGATTCTCTTGACCATTATAACATAGATGCTATTATACCTTAAACTAATTTCTCGAATTCAATTTTTCAGATACGGCTTTCAACAATTCAAGCGATCTACTTAACTTGCAATAAGCCTGAAATACTGCTTTTAATGAATTATGAGCGTTGAACAGTTTAGTCATATTTACATATCAATGTAGACTTACAAAATTTCTGAAGTTTGAGCAATAATTTAAGACAAACTTTCATCTCATGAAAATTAGTCATCAAAAATTCATTTCGCTAATATCATATATGTGGTAAGAAAAGATTTGCAACAATCTAAGATCTAAGATTCATGTACCATATCTTATGCTCATCTGCTTAAAATTTTTTACTCAACTAATATATTTCACTTGAATTTCCGACTTCTGAATGTTCTACAACTTCATCAGCGCAATTGTTGTGGGCAAGTAACGGAACTAAATTAGGATCTGAACGCAATGTGTTAATTTTCATGCTATCTCATTGATATTATCAGAATATTTTGCGCATCACTTTTGATGCTTGAAATTTGTTGTATTTGTTATTCATTCATTAAATTGTCATCAAAAAGAGCTGTATGAAGAGTTTAAACCTGGTTTCAGGTTGGCAAAAACCCAAAGAACACCAACAATATGTTCGGTCAAACAGAATCAGGTATGAGGCAAAACACATTTGCATACAGAAAGTTTAGTAATTTATAATGTTTTCAACCCTTAAAAGGCTGAGTGAGAATAAAGTTCAGTCTGAGATCAAATTGTATGCAAAAATACTCGCAATCATTTTTCGGTCAAATCTTAATATGGTAACAGAATATCGTGTATAGAAATATCAATGAATACATATAATGCTTGGTAGATTAGTAGCGATTTATGTACGAAACACAGAGACAAGAACCTTCGAAAACTTTATTAGTTTTTTGTTGTCAACATCATACTTGGTATATGTATACGAAAGTTAAGTCGAGGCAACAGGAAAGAGCGATGATTTAAAACAATGAGAGAAGTATAGTACCAGTAAAAAGGCTCAAAAGATATTTTGGATATTAATGTTCGAAAAATTCAAAAACAATATGAGCTTCAGCTTCTTTGACATATAGAAAAAACTTGACGAAATTATAAGTGCAAACTTGCAGGCGAAGAGAGCATTATTGAAGATGATGACGATAATGATGAACAGGACGACTCAATAAGTACTAGTGATGGAAGTTCTGGTATAAATACTGACAATAGTGAAAGCAATAAAAATACTGATGATTGCAAAGGTCCAATACCGAAGCAGAACAGAAAATGTTCAAATGAATAAACTACATCCATCTTATATGTGTTGGAACAAAATACAGAGCACTTATTTTTGTAAACACATCTTGTGCCTCATCTTCCAAAATAATGCTTCCGTAATCATACTGATGACTTCACACTTACATATCTAGTAAATTTTATTTTCTATGCATCACATGATCTCCTGAAAGTAAATGACAGATGTAATAAACCAACTTCCCGAATATCAGTATCATTTTAATGAAATGCTTGTATTATTTTAATCGGCAGATGATGAAGTTGTATGATGCGAGAAGATCATTGTTATTCCGAAAATTACTTCTGAAGTGGAAACTCTACTCGACAAATTGTGTACTTTAAGAATGAATCTCTAGTACGTCCCGCAATGTAAATCGTAGCTGATATCTTTGAATGTGATCCATAACTGATGAGTTGTGATCTAATTATTCTATTTTAGTTGGACTAACGATACAGTTATGATTATGAAATACTTTTACTCCAACTCATATGTGCTTATCAACATATACAGCCCTGAAATTTTAAATCAAAGTGTTACTACAAGAGAAACTCAGTAATTCATTAGTTTTGCTGATCAGTAATTTATATATAACCTAAATCCATCTCATGCCTGAATCATTTTTAATTCGCGTTGACTAGTAGTGAGGCTGTAGTTTTGGCTCATGTCTGGTAATTTTTATCGAGATCTAAAATATCTGTAATCATTATTTCTTGTTGCTCACTTCCTTATTCACAAAAGTGAGGGTAACAATTAATTTTGGCAATTTTGTCACATTTGCGTATGTAAGAACAAGTTTGCGTAATCAGTCGAAAATTAAATTCTCACGTCGATAATTACGTTACAATCCGCGTAATGTTTGTGATGGGAATTTCGAGATAATCACAATAAACACAAAAACATCAATTTAATTTCCATTAATTACAACAGGCGGAGACCGATCTTCTCTCTCATTATCTTATCATCAGCTTCACGTGTACTATCTCATCGAACGCATCGAAGTTTAACCAAAAAAATGTCATTTAGACAAAAGTGCACTTGCACGTTGCAAGTCAGTCACTCATTCACTCAGTCAGCCAGTCAGTCACTCTTTCGATGGGACGGTCTCTAGCACTGTACTCTCTGAATTTATAACTTAGTGTCACTATGTGATTTTTCTTCTGATCGTGAAGACTTAGCATTTGAAATGCTTTTGCTTACTAATTTCTCTTCGTTTATCGCTCCTTGCCTTATTGCAAGTAATTCATCCACTCATCTCAAGTTTTTTTCAGGCTCATACTTGTGACTGATAAGCACGTTGCTTATAATATACGTAAAGGGCTTGGTCGCTGGCTAGAGCGACCAAAGCGATAGATGGATCGCAACGTGAAGTCACAATGCTGTGACCTTCTATTGTTTTCGGCTTCATGAAAAGAATTTTGCTCCGGAACCTAGGGAACATTTAGGATGAAGAATGAAAAAATTTTTTACATAACATGTTAAGAAGTTTTGCGACATTCGCCTCATATGTCTTCATGAGAGTGATGAGACTCTCATCTCGGACGTATAGTATATTTGATAAAGGTAATGGTTGTTTCATCGCGATAAACTGTACCTTTCGTAGAAAGAAAGATCGAACTGATTCCGGACTATGCTCCAGTTGTAAGTTCTTTTTAATGTTTTTTGTTGATTGCCTGCAGTATTGAGCATTATTGATTTATATAAGCACTGTATTTTGCAGAAAGATTTATGGGTCAAACGTGAACCCGCATCCATCCTGGAGTCCAAACAAAAAATGCTGCCTTATAGATTACCGAGGACGACGTACTCTCTAGGATTGGAAAGCCAGTTACGGGTGCCCGTGGCTCACCCGTACATTGTTCACAGTGGAAGAGTTTGTTTGTTATATTACTTGTGCACTGCATTTTACAATTACATCATTTGAAATGAATTTGCAGAAAAAATTTTCTCAAATCATTCTTATTTCATTTTCAGATTGTAACCTTCCGCGGTACCCTTTGGTGTCGTACAATGAGCCTTTTCCAACGGTCAGCGCATAAAAATACATGTGGCAAAGACAGGAGCACATGCTCTTGATGGCAAGTAATTAATTTTGTTTCTATAGCTGAATATAAATACTTTATCAAGAGCACACATCATGAATCACTTACGTACACTAATATGCTTAATATTAGCTCACGATTACTTTTCAAGATATTGCCATCGATTTCGCTGCCACATCGTATTAACCAGAAATTGTTCGATATCTGAACCGAAGGTTGGTATTTTTGTTGATTGGAAATCGCATATACGTAGAAAAGTTGGAATGTATTCAGTATTTTTAAATAATATAGAAACTATAATTCATGATTTCAGGTCTTCATGTAAGCTCATCACGATGAGCGCTGCACAAATCCTGAAAACGTGTACTCGGAACTTGTGCTCAGCAGCTGGATTACTTGAGACCGTGGGCAAAGAGACATCAGAGCAATATTTTCATTCAGGTAAATTTATATCAAATCCAGTTCTGACTTCATATTCTTCACAACGGTTGATTGAATCCGGGTAAGCTTAATAGGACGTATAATCACTGTAGACATCAAAATTACACAAATCATTATTCATATCCAAAAAAAAAAGATGGCAGTTTGTGATGATTATCTGGCTAATCCGTTCGGGTAATGGTCGCAGACCAGAACGTTCAGAAGCCGTCGCCAACCAGGACGTTGATGTCAGAGTCAAGACACGAGTAAGAACTACAATTAGAATTATGGAGGATCGACCGGATATACTGGTATATTATAAGAAGCGACGAGATGTGTTTTTGGTCATGACAGCAGTCAGGACCAAAAACAAGCGAAAGAACGATTTACTGGCTGAGCACTCGGGGCAGCGATAAATTGCTGGACCACAACACTTCTGTATGTGATAAATCGGGATGAGATAGTGACGTACTTGAACAATCGTTACTCGAGAGCAATCAGTATATCTGGTCACGTTCAGGCATATATCTAATCGCTTGTATTCAGTGAAACAGCGCTCGAAAGCGTCTCATTCGGTCAGCGCTGTGTAATCGATGAGGACGAAGCACCAGAGATATGCATATCAGAACTGAGCTTGGAGCGAGTGCATTAAACATAACAGAATACGATCCAGCGCTAGAATCAATAATTTTCAAGAATAACCTCGTGTGAAATTGAATGATAAGATGTAGTAAATGATATTA